TGTTTTAAAATAAATACAGCGTGTTTTATTAACATTCAAGGTCAAAGAATTAGCTTGAAACCAATGCATTATCTTCCCAAAGACAATATTAAAATTTTCTTTAAGCTGCCTATAATCAGGAGCAGTTAATATTAATTTAATATCATCCGCGAATGAAGTAGGTTTTGATATGTCACTTATTAAAGCTGGTAAATCATTTATATACAATAAAAAAAAATAATGGTCCAAGGATTGATCCCTGTGAAACACCCAACTTAATCCGTTTCCAATCAGAGAAATATTGTCCAGATTTTTTATCTTTTATTACCACTCTTCGGTATCTATTATTCAGGTATGAGGTAATCAATTTAAAGAATATTCCTCGTATACCATAGAAATCCAACTTGGTCAACAAAACCTCATGATTCACACTATCAAATGCTTTGGTCAGATCACAAAAAATACCACCAACCAGTTTTCTATCATTCAATGCCTGTAATATATTATTAATTAAATTAAAATTGGCAGTCTCAGTAGACAAATTTTTTCTAAATCCATACTGTTCAACAGGTAAAATACTATTTAAAAGTGCATGTGTGTATAATCTATTGAAGATAACTTTTTCAAAAATTTTGGAAAAATATGTAAGTATGGAAATTGGTCTATAATTTGATATTTCAGACTTTTCGCCTTTTTTATATATTGGATGTATCTGTGAGTATTTCAGCCATTCTGGGAATATGCCTGTAGACACAGACCTATTACATATATAAACAAGAGGCGATATTATGAAAGGCATACTCGATTTCATTATCTTCATTGAGACTTTGTCATAGCCACAAGAATTTTTATTTTTAAGAGATTTAATAATATCTTTTAGTTCTTTACCAGTTACAGGTTTATTTGTAATGTTACTTATGGATCCTATAGATAATGAGGATAAATAATGAAAAAACTTATCTTTATTTAGTGATGGATCTGAGGTGATATCGTTACTCGGCTGTTTATGCATTGTAGTATTAAAATATAAATTAAAAGCATCAGCTATATTTTGTCTGTCTTTACATTTTTCTCCCTCAATAATTAATTTTGGTGGGTGACAAGCATTAGTAAAATATCCTATATAATTAAATCGCTAAGAGGAGTTTTGAGTCCAAATGTGTTAAGAAGCATTTATTTCGGAAAGTTTCAATTGTTACTGATATATGCAATAATATTTTTTAGGGGGGGGGGGTGATAGTATAAAGGTATTTAAAATGCAGAAGAGGGTGCTGCAAATAATTAGTGGACTTGGTAAACAAGAGTCATGTAGGCAAATTTTTAAAGATTATGGCATCCTCATGGTCACTTCTTTGTATATCTTAGAGGTATTATGTTACATAAAAAAGCACAAAGCAGATTTGATCCAAAATATAAATATTCATAGTTATAATACAAGAAAAAACAGGATTTTCATGTTCAATTCTGCAGAAATACATTATTTAAAAAAAGTGTGGTAAATATGGGGATACAATTGTATAGTTAGGTGCCAAATAAAATAAAGAACTCTGTGGGTTTTTTGGCTTTTAAAAAAGACTTAGCATCCTTTTTATTGAAACATTCTTTTTATACGATAAATGAATTTGTTAGTTTTAATAAAAAAGTGGATGGTGCAAGTACTTATGTTTCGATGTCATAGCCATTCATGAGCTGTATATAGTAGTTCGTGTATTTTTTTGTTGTATTTATATACTGCTTATGATTGTAACAAATGTTGGTAGTATGCTTGTAACTTTGTAGATTTGTTTTGTTAATTTGTATTGCCGAATGACTTGTCCAAGTGTTAATATGTGGCAAAACAGATGAAAATAAAATACAATATAATACAATACAAAAAAGCTCTGCAAGATGACTTGAAGATTATTATCTTCTAGGAAGTGATGCTATGTAGTTAGGTAGATCTGCTATTACTTGTGGTTTGTCTTACAACCTCATGTGACCAACCAATATGTACTTTGATTTTTAAAGTGCCTATATCACATACCAAAGATGGTATCGGTTCCTAAAAGTTTCTGTGAGAAGAAAAATAACAACTGAGTATTTCGGTGAAATTATTTAGTAATAGTACATCTACAGTCACAGTTTATTGTTAATATCCTTCTGAGACTTTTGTGATTATGATTCAGTGTTTCTTAAACGTGCTTCCTATACACTCAACCATAAGAATAAGAAACTCTATAGACAAATAAGAGATGTCCTTTACAGTGCTCTTAAATGTATGGAAAATGAAGTCAATGAGGGGACATGCGATGTCTGTTCAACAGGCCTATAAAAGAGCAGCTAAAATTACTGTTGCTTCTCCACATTTTGTTGAGAAAATGAAATAATAATAAGAAAAAAAAACACTTATGGTGTGGAACATAGTTCCTCCTTGCAAACTCCATAAAAGGAATGTCAACATTTGATGAAGCTGGTTTGTGACATCATTGTTTTTAAGGCAACAATGTATAGTTTTTGCAAAGTGAAGTGAATCCAGCTGTCAGGCTTTCAAGAAAAATATGCGGTGGTGATAGGTTTTCAGGCACAAAGTACATCTCTCAGAAAAATTCTAATGAAAGCCATGACACACAAGAGAAACATTTCATACTTGAGAGTGATTAATCAAAGAAAGCAGTATTAATGTTCATGTTGATGAGTTGTACATGCTATCTTCACCTGCTATGAACAAATTTTGGAGTGATCAGAACTTACTAGCACCCCTGTTTAAGGACAGAGATAAATTATAACTGCTCTGTTTGTCAAACATACAGGCTACAGAAAGACTATAACCACCAGAAGAATATAAGTGATTATGAAAAATGGGTGAAAGAAAAACTAATTCTGAATATAACTGTCAATTATGCAATTATTTTAGATAATGCTATTACCAAAATGTTCGGTTTGAGAGAACACCTTATTCTAATCCCTCCAAGAGAGAGATAATGGCTATCAGAAAGATTTTTTTTTCTTCAGTATAAAATGTAAAAAATGAAAACTGTTACATGCCCTCACACAACTGCACAAACTGCAAGTTGAAAGAGTCTGTTGATATTTTAAAGAATCATGGTCACTGTCATGCACCTGCCATCTTACCACCAAGATCTGAACACATGGATGGGGGATGAGGAGGGTTTTTTTTTGCCTTCCATAAATCCTGTCGAGAGTACATTCTCATGCAGATGTGGAGATTGTCCTAGTTACAGTCACAACTAAGAATCACAGTTGTCATCCAATAGCATGCACATTTGTAATAAAATACTGATAAATATATACAATAAATAAATAAGTTAATTTTAGAAGTAAAAGTAATGACAAACCTTATACAATTTGTACAGTTTTATACGAGTCTATTAATTACAAATTCAATCATTAAAACACAATGTCATTAATGAGTTTTGTATAACATACATTAATAGTATAATAAATTAAAATAAAGACTAGTATACAGTGATATAAGGATTGTGTATATCTAAAATAAGCTATTAAAAACCAGAACACAGACTGACAATCTTGTCTTCTTTTAATTGTAAAGCTACTTGCATCTTAAAAATATTTATAACCAAAATATTCCTGTAAATAGTAAAAATTGTTTCAATTGTACCTCAAAACTCTTAGTGTCACTCGATATATCCTTAATATGTTGTGGTAGATTATTATAGACCTTTGTTCCTAAACAGTAAACTCCCTTTTGGTATTTACTCAAAATTACAAGAGGCTGATGGAGATTATTTTTCAGTCTGGTATTTATTTTATGAATCTCTGAATTTACTATGAATTTAATAATGTTGTATTTTAGCGTCCTGTTGCACTGATTACAACGCTCGCAGCCAAAAAAGGACATATCACAAAGACACAATATACACAAAATATAGGAAGAACGACTCCCATAGTGGAAGAATGATGTAGTACGCGAATTTGAGTTAAGACGTGTAAGATGATGGATATTAACAAATTTTAATATATATAAGTTTTATTATAGTTAGTGAAGAGCGTGCATTTTAGATAATTTTATAAATGACACATGATGGTGAGCAATGCAATAGCTTGATGTAAATAACACACCTGAGGATGGCACAGTGATGCCGAAACATGTAGTGAAGTGACATGTGAGACTGAATGCACTACAAGACGGCCAATACATACATATTATGGACGATTACTATGAATTTGTTTCTGTTTCTTATCACAAAGAGCATAAGAGATAGTATGTACTGAGATGCCAGAGGTAAGATTTCTAATTCTCTAAATAAGTTTCTGCATGAATCCCTCCTTCTGCATCCCAACATAATTCTAATTATATTCTTTTGCATTCCAAAGTGAAGGGATGGATAGCATCTAGAAACATACCATTTAACAGTACTGTCCTCTCAGAGTAATGCCATGTAGTCCAGTAGAAGTCCACTAACATTTCAGAGGACTGTACTACCTCCATCTTCAAGGTTGAAGAGTAAGCCAAGCCAGAAACTAGCAGCAAGCAGACAGGCCTTGCTCTTCTTGACGGTTTCTTACTCTCCAGCTCTGATGATGGAGGCAGTATAGTCCTCCAAAATGTCAATGGCTACATGGCATTAAATCACAAAGACAGCAGGCCCACTATTCATAGTCACCACTGTGTGAACCACCACTTTGGATGTTCCCTTTTTGAAGAAAAGTTCCAGCAGATGAGGAAAGATGACCGATGCTAGCTGTATGAACACATACAGGCCAAGAAGGAATGCTATGACAGTATCTTATTATGGGTCAACTGACCAAGCATTAATCAATTAATCAAGAAATAATCGATAATAGTGAATGTTACTCTAAAGGTGATGAAGAAGGACATTTTCGAAGAAAGCTGTGAAGGTGATATTTCTGAAATTGTAAAAATGCTATAACATGGCAGTGACTATGGTCGGTGCATAACCATTCTGATTTTATAATAGCAGAGCACACATTACTGATGAGCACTTACTTATTGTTATGCAAGAATGAAAGATTGTAAAAATGTAAGTTTACATGCTATGGGCTGGACAGCTGGGGTTAAATTCCCGGTAGGGGCAAGAGATTTTTCTCTACTCTAAAGCGTTCAGACTGGCTCTGTGGTCCAACCAGCCTCCTAACCAATGGGTACCAAGGGCTCTTTCTCTGAGTGTAATGTGGCAAGGGCACTTGAAGCTGACCACTCTTTTCCATCTAATGCTGAGGTCAAGAATGGTGGAGCTCCACTCTGTCTTCATAACATGGTTCTCAGTTAATTTTACCTTTATAGTATTCTTTACTTACTTATATGAGTTCTGACATCACCAGTTCTTCTAAAAGTTAATACTAAACGTCAAGGTATATATATATATCTTAAAATATTTTCACAGTACTTGCAAGAAATGTGGTAAGCATACAACTGTAACACTCTACAACAGCCTGTCCAACGCGGCGCCCGTGGTATATTTTTCTGATGCCCTCCATAACCACATATAATTGAGCCGATTTTTAATATTAATTCAAATTGTAAGACAAGAGACATTTTTGAACGTCTGAGTACTGTTAAATATTTTCGAAAAATTTTATTATTAGTAGTAGTAGTAGCAGTGGTAGCAGTAGTAGCAGAAGTAGTAGTAGTGTGTGGCGGCGCCCGCACCTCTATAGGCATCAGTGAATTGTGCCCAAGTACATAAGAACGTTGGACAGCACTGCTCTACAACACAAACTGAAAAGCCCAGAACACAATGAAAAGTAGACTAAGAGGCCTTGTCATTAATCCACACACACACACACACAAAAAAAAACGGGAAATACTGTCCTAGCTTTCATTATAAAGAAACATAATGCACGAGAGATTCTTCCTACCCTTTCTGTGGATCAAAATTTTTATCCTGTATATTATCACACTGAGAGAGACTATGCAAGCCTTGTGGGCAAATTTTCATAACCATCTCCCCAATGGGTGACATCAGGCTGAACACATCCACTGACTTAATGCACACCATTATCTATTTATGATAATCGACTTCGAATTACAATAATTTTGCGCGAACATGCAACAAATTGTGAAACAAACAGAAACACCAACACGATGATCATGAACGATCATGATGATTACAACAATTTCTCGCCAGCATATCCAACATAACGGAATGCTAACCAGAACAAGAAGGAATGCGCAATTAATGTTTTTTGTTTTCTGAATTCTCTTCAGTGGTCATAACGAACAATTACAGATATACGTAGTATCGAAATTATACACAATTAAATTAATCCCACATGTACTAGTGTTCCATATTCCGAATTGGCCAGCATAAGAACGATCGTAGGCTTTCGTGTTCCCAAAACGTTGGTTATGAGCAGGGCCCGGATTTTGATGACATGTCATCTTTTTTTCCTTGTATCCTATGAGATGCTCTTAAACATATAAATCTCGGATATGAGCTGCTGGTTACAGAAATGTAAATTTTATAGGATTTTTTTTTGTCATTTTTTTACATTTGTAGGTTTAAGGTCATTTTTTTCATTTATGGGGTAACTTTTTGGTAAATTTTGGGGCTTTTAAGGGTATTTCTTGTCATTTTTGGCCATTTTAGAGATTGTTTCTTCATATGTTTTCTGAAATATGAATAATCTGGAAGCGAAGTGTTATTTCTCTTTCTCCGTTAGGTCATTTTTCTGGATTTTTTCGGTCACTTTTTAAATATTTTCAGGTCATCAAAATCCGGGCCCTGGTTATGAGCGTTATGGGGGTTATGAGTATTGTCTTCAGGGATGTAACACCGTGTAATCCATTGAAAGTCAACCAATGTTTCGGAGGAACATATCGCCACCATCTTCAGAGTTGAAGAATAAGCGGAGCATGAAACCAGCGTGAAACCACGTAGCAAGCAAGCTCGCTTACGAACACAGCAATGCGAACTATGAAGCGTCGTGTGAGGTTATGTAGTGTGCTCTCAAATTCAGTATGATGCCTTGCACGAATACAAATTGTAGAAGGTTAAAAATTTAGTTATTGTAAGAACACTGAAGTAAATCAGTACACTAACCCATGGACGCCTTGAATAAAATGTCCAATTGTAATCACTAAAGAATGTGACGTGTTTAGGACTGTTGTATGGAAGATGGAAGCAAGATTCATGTAACATTAAAGTGTCCTCGGTTTTGAGTGGTTTGGTAGGTTCGTGTAATCATATGTGTTAGTAAAGCAAAAGCTGTCACTGCCTTGTGTTGAATGAAATGACTTTCAGTTGAATTTATTCAAGAATCGGGCATATTTGCGATCATTAACTAATAAAGCTCTATGTCAATAAAAATGAATCGGTGTTTACAAATACATTATTGTACGCAGAATATAAATATACTGATGCAGATTTCCATGGGTAGGGTAACATGACCCCAGTTTAATTTCTTCAGGAATTTGACCTACATGGAATTATTGTATTTGGTGGACAAAATGGCACGGAGATAGGTTTTCACCGAGCACTTTGTTTTTCCCCTGCCAGTTGCAATGTGTACTGTTGCTTAAAAAGTAAACATGAATTTGGATGCGGGTTCATAATAAATTCTAAAATTAAACATTCAGTAATTGACCTTAAACCTATTAATCAGACAGTTTACCTTGATGTTTGGAGGAAGATCTAATAATCTGACCTTAATATGTGTACATGCACCAACAAAAGAGAAAAACGAGTGTATTAAAGATAGTTTTCATGAGGAATTAGAAACCATTGATATTGGGTGGCCAAAGAACGATATTTAGATTCTCCTTGGAGACTTTAATGCTAAGGTAGGGTTCAAAGATCAAGACAGATGTTGTTGGGAATTGTGGGCTGTGTGAAGAAAATAATGATAATGTATTATGGTTAATTGGATTGGCTAGTGCACTAAACATGGTACATAATAGGAAGTACTTACTACATTCCCCCACGAGAAGGTGACAGCAACTTGGAGGTTTTCAAATGGCACAACAAATAATCAGATTGATCATATATTTATCGTTCAGAGACATAAGAATAATATGATGGATGGAAGGACTTAAAGGGGTGTAAATGCTGGTTCAAACCATTATCTTGTTATTACCAGAATGAAAGCAAAAATTAGTGGGTCAAAATATGTTCCAAATAAAGAGAAAACAATATGATACAGTATAAGGAACCTGAAACAGACAGAAGTCAAGAAATAATATGAGTAAAAAATAAGGACATATGTCAGGAGTTAGGGAAGGGAGTAACAATTGAAGAATAATGGACAAACGTGGAAACAATTCATAAAACAACAGCAGAGGAAAATATTGGGAAAGTTAAATTGAGTTACATTGAGAAGTAGCTCAAGTATTTATGTATTTTCTGTATGGTTTTTTCTCATTGCTTGTTTTGTTAACAGCTCACCAGAGGCTACTTTCTGAATAATCCTAGGATCTATTGAATATAAGCAACCTAAACTAGTGTTATGAGAGATACTAAAAGATTTTGACTGAAATTTTTTTCTTGGTGGAAAACTGTCAAAAAGGGCTGAAACTTGACATGTTGGTACTTATATGCTTTATTTTAAGATATTTTTCTGCAGAATATCTCTCCTATTTCTTTAGTTTTATGCCCCTTGGAAGCAAGAGTAATGTGACTATATTTTGTGAGTGCAAAATCGGGATGTTTGACAAGTACCTGCTCATGGGGATCTCCTCACTTGCATCTCTGCTCCTTCCCCTAAATAGTTAATGTCATGTTATAGATGAAGCATATTATAGACAATGTTGTCCAATGCAGCATCTGAAGGCTTCACTGCACCATTATCTATGTGCTTTGTACCCTCATTTATGCATTATGTTTACCTAACTTTAAAATCTTAATTTTATATGGAACGGAAAGAGGCATCTCCCATATATTGAATTCTATTTTCCTCTCTGTCTGTCTACAGCCCTTGTGGACCTTGGCTGCTTCTTCAGTTTCTGAATCTATAGTCAGTAGAACTCCTTGGACGGGTGATTAACCCATCGCAAGGCCACTACCCACACACAGAACACCACAAACACAGAATAAACGCACACAGACATCCATTCCTCGAGTGGGATTCAAATCCATGATCCCAGTGTTCAAAGACAGTTCATGCCTTAGACCTCCTGGCCACTGTTATCAGCTTATTTCCCTCTGTCCCTATTTTCCTGCACACATGTGAACAAAGACTGCTTATTTATTTATCTGACCAGAACAATTAATTAAAACACTAATCTTTTCCTAAGTGCTTTTTAATGAACACATTAAAAGTGTAATTCTGGTTTTATTATCTTCAGAATATAAAATTTATGCCATATTTTAAATGTAATTAATTTATTTAAGACTAATGATTAACTTATCTGCCAGTACTTTTCAGGTCCATGCTGGCTTCTGAGAGGCCCATATCACTGATAGTTCTGGGAGAATTGGATCTTCTTCAAGATGCCTGTTTTACTTGAATGTGTACCCAGAGTTAACTCTGGTCATTAAAACTGCCTTCAGAGTTTCAACAAGTAGCTGGGTCTACTCACTCCTCCACAATCTATTCATGAATAAGACCTGGATGTTTAGTGCATTAGTTCCAGGCAGACACAAAAGGAACTTCACAAATTTCAGTATGTTTAGTATTGAAATGTGAAACACTTTCCACCCATTGTACATATGGTGATGTTTCTGCTGATCTCCACTCAGCCAGTTTTTCTGGATCGATGTATAATTTAATACACACAAATTCACCATACAAAACATTATCATCAATGTCAAATGAAGGTGTAACTGAAGAAAGCAGTCTTCTGGGATTTGGCACCGTGTATATGTGGTGTTAACCGACGTTTCGGAGGAACGTATCACCTCCATCATCAGGGTAGAAGAAAGAATATAAGAAATCTGCAAGCGAAGAGAACATGAGAACCGGTTCTCACGGTCTCTTCGCTTGCAGATTTCTTATATT